TTTAGAAGAACGGAGGCCAATTAAACAAACAACTGAATCTTTTCCCAAAAATGAAATTAATATATTAAATGATATTATTTCTATGAAACTTTCTGCGGACTGTTCGCTACATGAAGTGAATTGTTGTGTCTCTGCTTGGAGGAACTTCACACAGTTTCCAAAGAAAACACATCAAGTCCTATGAACAATCCACCAAAGAAAAAACGGTTTCAAGTAAAATTAACAGAAACTAGAAAATACATTTCCTGGATAGAGCTTTGCCTGAAGTTAAGATCATCAGGGAGTCCCATGTCAAAACGACAAAAGGCAATTTGGAGAAAATTAGAAACAGTATAAGACAACAAAAGAAAAACTGCTTCTCCAAATTGTCGATTCCCTTAAGGCCAAAATAAAGGTTTGGACTAAAAGAAAGAAAAAATGGGAAAAGAAAAATAAATTCATCAACCAAAATAAACTTTTTAGAAATAATGAAAAACACTTCTACAGGCAACTTAAAACAAAAGGTGATGGTGAGCATGATAAGCGGCCTCCCATGGACGCCAATGAAAGGTTCTGGAAACAGTTGTGGTCTGTACCCGGTGACTGTAACCTGGAGGCACCTTGGGTCCGTGATTATGACTATGCAATGCATGAGAAAGTAACAAGGTCGTTTGTTTGCTACATCTCACCAGATTGCCTGAAAAGTGTTATCAAAAAGTCCAAATCTAATACAGCTCCAGGGCCTGATGGCATTCGAAACCAGTACTGGAAACTGTTCCCCTGTGTCCAAACACCATTACTTCACTGCTTCAATACTCTCGTGGACACAGGTGATGTTCTTCCGTGGTTCTGCAAAGGTCGCACAATACTCCTCCCCAAGACTTCCACCCTATCACATGTTTAAATACACAATACAAATTTTTCACAGGGTGTTTGACAAACCTTGTGTCATCATACTGCTCTGCTAATGATATAATTTATAGAGAGCAGAAGGGAGCGAGAAAGGGATGTTGGGGGTGCAAGGATCAACTTCTTGTACAGAAAATGATTTTGGAAGAGGCTAAAACATATCACTGAAACCTCTCCATGTGCTGGATTGACTACAAAAAAGCATACGACTCTGTCCCTCATGAATGGATTCTGAAGTCTCTTCGTTGTACTGACCTCCCGGAGCGACTGCTTGATTTACTCAAGTCTTTAATGGGTTGCTGGTCGACTCAACTTGAGATGTACTCGCAAGGGCAGGTGCACACTTCGGAATCTATTTCAATCAGGAGGGGAATTTTCCAGGGGGACTCCTTCAGTCCTTTGCTTTTTTGTTTGTCTCTAAATCCTTTGAGCTTTCTGCTCAACAGAGAGGAGGGTTACCATCCCGGACCTCCTCAGCACAGATCCCCAACATCGCTTACTCATCTTCTTTACATGGATGACATCGAGCTACTTGCCAAAGGAGATTCTAATTTGAAAGAACAGGTTCTCCTTGGCGAGTCCTTTTCTAATGATATTGGGATGACATTTGGACTCGACAAATGTAATACACTTTATTTGAAACGTGGCAAGGTAGTTAATGGTGGATCAGTCAAGTTACAGGGGAGGAGTTATTGAGCATCTTGTGGAAGATCAGGCCTACACCTATCTTGGAATGCAAGTTCGAGACAAGCTCCAGAATGCCCAAATTCAAGACAAACTTCGGGCCGAGTACAAATCTCGCTTAAGAAAATCTGGAGCTCAGAGCTAAATGCTTGAAACAAGGTCAAGGTCACCAATACTTTTGCTGTGCCAGTCCTCTCCTATTCCTTTGGAGTAGTTGATTGGACTAAACAAGACATTCAGAGTCTTGATCGCCTGACCAGAAGGATCATGTCTGATAACAGAGCCCACCACCCTCGTTCCACTCTCAACAGTTTATATATGTCAATCAATTCTGGAGGTCGGGGTTTGATTAATGTGGAGGCTCTTCATGATAGAATTCTTTTGTGTACTATTGCACAGATTTATTTATCGGATGATTCTCCGGTGATGCATGTGAAGACTCATGATAAAAGCAAGGAATTCCACAGCTATTTTTAGCGTGCCAAGGTTGTTGGACAGAATCTGAAATTTGAGGTTGATTTTGCTGATGGCGATGTACTGCTGGACGGTACAGTGATGGGAGTAAACCAGGTGAAGTCCTTCACCAAGTCTGCCCAGAGTCGGTCTTTTGTGGAGAAGCTTTCCGAGAAGCCATTGCATCGTGTGTACATGCAGTGTGTCGAACAGAATAGTGAGTGAGTGAGTGAGTTAAGATTTAGAGTCACATCGGCAATATTTCAGCCATATCGTGACTACGAACAGAATAGCAATCCCACCGACTCCTTCGCCTGGATGAAGTCGGCTGGTCTCAACATGTTCAGGGTCGTACCATGGATGGACCTCGGAGTCAAAGCCACAGGCATGGCGAAGACGGTAGTAAAAGCAACGAGCCATGCCATCATGTCTCTTAAGATATGCTGTTTGTGCCAAGGAAGGGCATCCACTAAAAAAGATGTTGGACAGTCTCTGTAAATTCATTACACAGTCGACATGTCATATTGATATTTTCCTTCAGAATCACATTTTGGCGATTACGAGTGGGAAGTGACTGGTCCTGAGCAGCAAAAAAAGAAAGCCCTCAGTTTCACATTTGAGACCAGCCGACTTCATCCAGGCGAAGGAGTCGGTTGGATTGCTATTCTGTTCCACACACTGCATGTACACATGATGCAATGGTTTCTCAGAAAGCTTCTCCACAAATGACCGACTCTGGGCAGACTTGGCGAAGGATATTTGGTTTACTGGCAATCGCTGTACTGTCCAGCAGTACATTGCCATCAGCAAAATCAATCTTAAATTTCAGATTCTGTTCAACAACCTTGACAGGCTTAAAATAGCTGTGGAACTTCTTGCTTTGATCATGAGTCTTCACATACATCAACAGAGGATCATCCGATAAATAAATATGTGCAAAAGTACACAATAAAATTATATCACGAAGAGCCTCCACATTAATCAAACCCCGACCTCCAGAATTAATTGGCATATATAAACAATCAAGAGAGCAACGAGGGTGGTGGGCTGTTATCAGACATGATCCTTCTGGTCAGGCGTTGACGTCAAGTTTAGTCCAATCTACTCCAAAAGGAATAGGAGAGTGCTGGCAGAGCAAAAGTATTTGTAGCTTTGACCTTGTTTCGGGCATTTACCTCTGAGCTCCAGATTTTCTTTGAGCGAGATTTATACTCAGCCCGAAGTTTGTCTTGAATCTGTTATTTTTATCATCAATGTGCACGCAAGGACGGACGCACGGACAAGGAAACAAAAGTCATCAATATCCCCCACAATGGCAAAATACTCTTGATGAATATGTCTACTTAGTTATGATAGTGTCAAATGTTTTGGAGTGTATATAGCAAAGTGGAAGGAGAGGACTGAAATGTTTTTAAAACCTGCTCCAGAAAGTAGCACTACAACCAAATTCAGTTGAAGCCTAACTTGTTGCCATGGAAATGCAACAAGATGGCATCCTCATAGTCAGTCACGTTTCCATGGAAACCACATGAACTAAAATTCATATCTGGGTCTAACAACCAAATGGCACATCTGTGGATCATGCCTGATATGTGTACCAAGTTTGATGAGACTAGCTTGTATACTTTCGGAGATCTGCTCCGGACAAGATGACATCCTTCAGCAACAGCCTAAGTCACGTTTCCATGGAAACCGCAAAAAATAAAATTCATATCTGGGTCTAATCCCCAAAAGGCAAATCTATGGATCATGCTCGACTTATGTACCAAGTTTCATGAAGCTAGCATGTATAATTTGGAAGATCTGCTCCGGACAAGATGAAATCTTCAGTCACAGCCTAAGTCATGTTTCCATGGAAACAGCAAAAAATAAAATTCATATCTGGGTCTAACCTCCAAAAGGCATATCTAGGGATCATGGTTGAAATGTGTACAGTCAGGCCTTATTAATCCTAACACTTCCGTTTTTCATCCAAAACGTTCGAATAGGTTTGGTTAAGCTATCTCGAATAGTTTAGGAGATATGCTTCGGAAAAAGTGTGACGGACGCACGACGGAACTCGTTTCTATATCCCCCGCGAATTTATGGGGTATAATAAAAATGCCAAAAATCAGCAAGTAAGCAAAGTCACCACTTCAGGATCAGTTTGATATATCTACCAATTTTTGTTGATAATCATCAAAAGGTTTGAGAATCTTCTCGGGTGCACCTGAAATGACATCTACTTTGGTCATAATTCCACTTGCTCTTTTTCAGCCTGTAATTTCTTCAGTGGAAGAAATTCAGTCCTCAAATCACTTTTGAATGGCTTGAATATCCTGCATATATCTGATCCAGTGGAGACACCAAATTATTCTTCATGGAGAAATAAAACCCAGCAGTCATGATATATTTTGGCATGACAGCTTGATGCCAGAAGAAAGTCGCAAACGTGTACGACTTGGATGTTTACTGGGATTCAATCACAGGTTAATTGCATACCCAAGGGAGGCATCCTTGCACAGTGAATTGTGTTACCTCAGATGATGAGACCACCTATGTTCCCTTTTCCAGGAAAGACCTGGGTGCCGTTGTACAAAGCGATCTTAGCGCTAAGGTGACCGTAACTCCAATACCTTAACATAGACTTAAGGTAGTCTTAGCGCTAAGGTTGTTTTGTACAACAGCACCCTGGCCCCTGCGATGTTTCAACTTTTCCCTCAGTAAATAAACTGTTTTTTTTCTGGTGAAGTGTCTTATGCGCTAAAATACAACATATGCCCCTTTGGCAATGTCATGGTGAACTAGTGGGAGAGTTTACTTTTACGCCGCTTTTAGCAATATTCCAGCAATATCATGGCGAAGGACACCAGAAACGGGCTTCACACATTGTACCCATGTGGGGAATCTAACCCGGGTTGTCGACATGACGAGCAAACGCTTTACCACTGGGCTACCCCACCACCCCCTCATTGTGAACTAAAAAATGATAAGAATTCTGTGAGAATGTTTTATTGAAACCATTACTGGCAATGCACTGATTCCATAAATGTACAATCTTCTGATAACTTTTTGAAAATGAAAATTGTATGCTATTCATCAGATAATGTTATTCAATCTTGTTTTAAATGGTGATGAAATATTAAGCATACATGGAAAATAATTTCATCATTACTTAATGGTATGGTTGTGATTTTTCAATGATACTAATGCTGGGATCAATTCAACTACTTGTCCAACTGCTTTCAGGTGAGATTATATTATTATTAAATTACATTGTGAAAGTTTATAATGGTCAAGAGGTTTTTGACAGATTATATTCAATCCCTGTGAAAAATTGCATGTGGTCCCAATTAATATGTTAAAGAAAGGAACAGCTTCCAAAAGTACAAAAGGTAATGGTTTAAATGTCTTTTGCTGCATTTTCTCCCTTAAGAAGCTCTACCAAGAGTCCACATGAAGTCATGTTTGTTGGGAGTCGACTTAGAAGCTGCTCCTTGCCAATGAAACTAATGCGTGAGAGTTCTGGTAGGCGAAGTAACATTTCTCCAAACTTGTTGTGCAACATTAGGAAATGTCCAGTTGTATAGGTCAAAAGAGCATCAAGTAGCTTATCCTGGTGCTCCATTATCTTCCCTGGATCCTTCAGTCCTTTAACATCTGCAAGCAAAGATAATATTTAGCAATATGTATAGATGTGATATTCTACTTGTGTTGGCAAGGGCTATATATCTCACTTTTTTTCCAGACCGATGGACAGATTAATATTTTAACAATATCATCTCTCGACTTTACCCTCAGTGGCACTATGATGAGGTTAATTGTGAACTTGATGTGGGTCCAATATGTCAAAGGTTAGCAGCTTGTGGAAGTTGTACAAAAGTGAACTTTCATTCACTGTGTATATGCTTGACACTAATAACAGTATTTTTTACCCTCTAGTTTTTCAGTCCTTATGTAAAGACATGTGACAGAAAGCATGTAGGCTAATGGGCACCCCCGAAGACAACTAGGCAAGCATTGTAAGGCTTCATTTGCACCTTACTACTTTCGAATCATTTTGCTCATTGTTTTACTGATGTCATAGACATATATGGACCACTTTCTGTTGTCTCCAAAACTTGAAATACATACTCTTTGCGGGTTTCTAACATGTTTTCTGCACAAAATATATTGTCACACATCTTTTGAATAAATTAAGCAGCAGCAAGTTTGCATTTTGTGACCTATAATTGAACACAGAGAAACTATAAAATGCGTTCCAATAATGACTGATAAACAAGTAATCTATCTGATGTGAGCAAAACTGTAGAAGTGACAATTTTTTATGCCTTAGAGTCAAGTGTAATCTGTAAATTTCTGAAACAGATATAGACTAATCCAACATTATGTGGAACTTTCTAAGTGTTAAGATCAAATGAGTACGCAAGCACATATCTCTATCATCTCACATTTCATCTTGTTACAGGTTGATTCCCAAGTTGAAACTAAAAAAAGAAAGAGGTGGGAAACCAACCAACAAAGCAAAATGATGCCATAAACAATTGTATTTGTAAAATTAACTACCAGGTATGTTAACAAGCAACAGTATTTTGACTTGGAAGAAAAGATTAGGCATAGAATTCCCAGGGTACAGAGTGATCACACAAAATGCTATTCTTCTTGTGACTTGAGATAAAATGTGAGATCAGACACAATAGGTAGCTCCTCTTATATACCAAAGAAAAAGCTAAAAAGATCATTCTAAATATTCTGTTTATCAGAACATGGTGGTAGCCTCTAGAACTCTGTCTAAATATACCACATCACTGCCCATTACTGAATCTTCAGGTATAACAATCTAAATCAGTGGTTGTGTGAAAATACAGGGCCTTAGCTTATTTGGGAAGGTGAATGTTATTCTCACTGACTTTATTTCTAATACCACTGCTGTAGTGTTTCATACTGCCATCGTAAATGTCCTGACATTGAATTTTGTTCTGTTGGGGCCGGCCATTGTAAGAATCTGGCAGTACCTTGTATTGATCTGTAAACCTAGTTGTAGAAATTGTTAATCGTATAACTTTGTATTGTTATATATTGGTTTCATACTGAAGGCTTATGCATATACATTTCTGGGTTTCTTATGGTTTCAATTTGAAAATCAACACATAACAATACACACATCTTGGATGGGGGTATCTTAATGACCGTACTTGTCTTCTTTGGTGGGTTATATGCTCTATGGTATATGTTGTCATCTTGAAGGAAAGACATTTTGTTGTCCCTGATCATATGTTTTGGTTCTCATTAGCACATGAAATAACTGAGACAGTGTGTTGACTGTTGTTCCAGAAGACATGTCAGCACACTCTGCAGTTTCTATCCTTTAGGGAAATGATTGCATTGAGTAGATGGTAGATCTCTAAAAATAGTCCCATAAAAGAATAATCTGGATAAAGCAGGCTGACTGGCTCTGTTTTTTTCTGCCCATAGCATGGGACATCTGAATCATGTTCAGTTTCATCTGTTGGTTGCTTGTTATTTCCTTCTAGCCTGACAGTCACGACACGAAGTGGGGTCTTATGCTGTCTGTCAGCTGGGAGAAGTTAATGATATGTGTTCTAGACATTTACTGACTTTGTCTCCAGCACACAAAAGACAGAACTGATCTTATCCCAACAAGTGCTGAGGCATTTGGCACAGAATACTGTTTCCAAAGACACTGGATGGGTTTGCTGACAGTGAAGAGGACATTTGATGAAGATCTGATTAGACTTTAGTGTAATTATAGCCAAACTGCAGGAATATTGCCAATGATGTAGGGGAATTCTGTGAATATAGTACAATAATCATCATCTCAATGGCTTAGTCTAATCTTACACTAATAGTCTAGGTCAGTCTAGTGCCTCAATGCTTGGCCTTAGTAAAACAACATCACTGTATTTGCTTACCTGGTGAAATGAGAAGTAGAACTTTCATAGCCACATACTCATACTGGTCTACCTCTAGACGCCTCAGATGTTCCGACAGTGATATCATTCTGCTCACTATATCATCAAAACCTAAGTCCTGAGCACGCTTTAAACCAATAGTTTTCCCAGCAGAAAGAGCTAGCACTCCTGGTGTAGCTATTGACCGCCAACAAACCCCCAGAGCCAGTAAGTCTGACCAGCAGTTTTGCAGCAGCAGAATCTGGTCATCAGTCTGAAAAACAGCAATAGTCACTGAACAGAGGTGGATTTAAATCATCCTCATCCATAAATATTTGTCAATGTTGTGATTAGGAAAGTAATGCAAGAAAAGTCTCAATAATGTGGCTTCAAGGTATTGCAAATCATAAATGTGATACCTTAGAGGTGGTCATCTTCTGAAGTTATTAGACACACTGTTTACTTGGACACAAGTAACTAAATGCTTAGCAAAGAAAGTTTAACATCAGATCATAGTTTAGATACAGCATAGCTTTGATAATTCACACAAATATTTAACATTATAGGACCTGGAGTTTCCGAGGGAAGAAGTAAATGATTGATAAATTAGCTTGGCTAAAAATGCCACAGTGACAGCTGATAATCATGATAATGGGTTTATTCAGACACAGTCTGTATTTAATGATATTGCCATGAACCTCTTGACCATTGGTTTCAAGGCAGAAGCTGTTTGTGAAAGACAATGGATGACAGGCTAACAGGCCATGACATAAGTCACTTGACTTTTAGTCAGGTGGGATAAAAAATGTCAAAATTACTAAACAGCAATAGGTAGCAGTTAAGGGCCACACAGATATCTTTCCAGAGTTTGATCAAGATATATTGAATGGCTATTGAGTTCTGCCATGGAAACAAGTTATGGAAGACAGACAATTTCCCTACGTCCCTCTTGCACTTTGCACTGAGCATAATATTACTATGATCATAAATATTAATTACCTAACTCTCAAACCACAGTCACACACACAATGACTTTCAAAAACATATCCAACTGCATTAATCACAATATCATATAAATTATTTTTTAAAGTGTCCCTGCGATTTACCTACCGAAATTGCCCCGAACTGGGGGAGATTTCTTGCCCAACGCACAAGCTTATAGAGTCGCAGTTCCGTAAGCTGCATGAGGTATGTGTACAAACTATCTTCATTTTCTTCAAATCCCTCTGGAATCATGTCCAGGGGTATTTCTTCATCCGACAAAAGGGGTTCCAAATTCATTATGTCTGTTAAAAGTTCTGGCACTTGCAGTGTCCCACCCTCTCCACTCTGTTGTGATGAGGGTGTTGAATGGTTTAAAATAGCCACCAGATGACTCACATTGACATCAGAGTTGCAATTGGAAGACTGGCCAGGAGGAAGTGACCGTGATCGTTTTATCTTTCTCTCTGTTGATATGGACTTTGTTCGACCATGTGCTGAACATCCATCATATGAGCTTCTGCCTCCTCTTGTTCGGTCCAGACGAATGGCTGAAAATGAAATGCATTATAATTCAGAATTTAACAAAACCTAGTCAAAAGATATCCTGTTTCAATGAATGGTAAAGGAAGTAGGTGATTTATGTTAGTTATTGCTTAGTCTCAGTTTCTGAATGAACAATGAAATTTGGAATTCACTACATTTGACTTAACGTATATATGCACCCAAAAATACAACATAAATAGAGTGCACATGGTACATGAGGTCATTTGCAGCATTAAAAAATAATGAAAACAGATGCTAGGCCTTAGGGCTAGTGTGTTGTAAATCTCACTTTTCTTGGAACTAAAAACCAAAACAGCAAACAACTACAGAGACAAGAATGAATCAGTGAGTGGGTTTGGTTTGGCTCCTCTATGAACTTTCTTCTGGTAATATCATGGCATGTGTGCTGTTGAGGGAGGAAGGCTAAAGAGATGCAGGTCTTTGACGTTTACTCTTTTGTGATGGTGTTGACAAACCTAGAAACAATAGGTGTGAACTGGGACTTGAACCCACAAGCACAGGTTCTATGAAGCATCTCTGTACAGTGAACTATGGTGGCTGAGATGACCAGGACATCCATGTCCCTGAGAGAGAGACCAAAGACAGGGAGCACATTTCAGGACAACAGCAGCTTACATGCCATGCAACAGTTGAACACATTATACTGACTCAGACACAGGCCTTCACAAATGCTGATCACCGTGACAGGTAACAAGTACTATGATTTAAGCTCTTTTTTTTGTGGAGTGGCTGAGGATCCAAACATTTGCTTTCCGCTCTCATGGACGTCGCTCCATCATTACAGTAGATAAAGAGTTCATGAGTGAGTCAAATGATGAACTATTGTATACAATGGTGTATGAGTGGGAGGTGGTCAAATGATGAACTATTGTATACAATGGTGGATGAGTGGGAGGTGGTCAAATGATGAACCATTGTATACAATGGTGTATGAGTGAGAGGTGGTCAAATGATGAACCATTGTATACAATGGTGTATGGTGTATGTGAGAGGTGAATGATGAACTATTGTGGTCAATGGTGTATGAGTGATGGTCAAATGATGAACTATTGTATGCAATGTTTTATTAATGAGAGGTGGTCAAATGGTGAACTATTGCATGAAGTGGTGTATGGATGAGAGGTGGTCAAATGATGAACTATTGTATGCAATGGTGTATGAATGACAGGTGGTCGAATGATGAACTATTGTATACAATAGTGTATGAGTGAGAGGTAGTCAAATGATGAACTATCCTCTCACAACGGTGTATGAGTGAGAGGTGATCAAATGATGAACTATTGTATACAATGGTGTATAAGTGGGAGATGGTCAAATGATGAACTATTGTATGCAATGGTGTATGAGTGGGAGGTGGTCAAATGATGAACTATTGTATGCAATGGTGTATGAGTGGGAGGTGGTCAGATGAAGAACTATTGTATACAATGGTGTATGAGTGAGAGGTGTTCAAATGATGAACTATTGTATACAATGGTGTATGAGTGGGAGGTGGTCAAATGATGAACTATTGTATACAATGGTGTATGAGTGGGAGGTGGTCAAATGATGAACTATTGTATACAATGGTGTATGAATGAGAGGTAGTCAAATGATGAATTATTGTATACAATGGTGTATGTGTGGGAGGTGGTCAAATGATGAACTATTTTATACAATGGTGTATGAGTGGGAGGTGGTCAAATGATGAACTATCCTCTCACAACGGTGTATGAGTGAGAGGTGATCAAATTGATGAACTATTGTATGCAATGGTGTATGAGTGGGAGGTGGTCAAATGATGAACTATTGTATGCAATGGTGTATGAGTGGGAGGTGGTCAGATGAAGAACTATTGTATACAATGGTGTATGAGTGAGAGGTGTTCAAATGATGAACTATTGTATACAATGGTGTATGAGTGGGAGGTGGTCAAATGATGAACTATTGTATACAATGGTGTATGAGTGGGAGGTGGTCAAATGATGAACTATTGTATACAATGGTGTATGAATGAGAGGTAGTCAAATGATGAATTATTGTATACAATGGTGTATGTGTGGGAGGTGGTCAAATGATGAACTATTTTATACAATGGTGTATGAGTGGGAGGTGGTCAAATGATGAACTATTACTGTGGCAGGTGTATTTTAGTGTAAATATATTATTTTAATCATATTATTATTCTCTCCTTTTAGCTATATTATTTCTAGGCAGTTTAAGGGTTAAGCTTTAGAGCTTGGCCTCTCTCACTAATTGCCCAAGCCATGACGCTTCTCGGCTGATTGGTCTCATTAACTCCATGCACAATTTGACTCATTCTGCACTGACTCTCTGCCACGTAAAGACAGCTTGGACAGACACACAGTGTGACATTAAGGTTAGTATTCATTTAATTAAAGTAATATTGCATTTAATCCTTGCAGTATATATATAATAAACGTATATCTATTTACTATCATTTAAATAGGTTTTATATTGTATAGCATGTAAGTGTGCTATATGTATTTATGCTAGCTTTCCGATCCTAAGCTATAAACATAAATAAGTATCACTAATATATTCTTATCTTTACTATCCCTTTCACTGAATGTGTGAGATGAGAGAACGTGTTTCAATATAAGTTGCTATGTTTTAACTATGATAACTATAAGTGTAATTATCAATGTGTGGAAGTAATTTTATGTTCATGAATGTAGCAGCCCTAAATCTACTCCACATTACATTGTTTATTATTTATCATCTAATATTATTTACAGCAGATAAGTCCCCGTCCATAAGACTGGTGCTGTGCCCGATTGGTGTACACCCTTGTACCACTAACAGGGTATGTGTATATGTATAATTTATATATCCATGTATTTGTATATAGTACCATCACGTAATGCGTGGTGACGAATCATGTGTACATTATCATTACGACTAATGCGTAATGGTGTATTATTATCTATCTTGTGTGTATTATCATTACGTTATTCGTAATGATGTAATATCATAATTCCAATATTTCATATGTGTAGTAAGTAATGGTATTCATGCTTTGAGTAACTACAGTATTATTGGTAATTGTCCATATGTATTAACCTGTGTATGGAATTATATGTATCTTGTATGAATTGTGTGAGATGTATATAATATTATTATATTTATTGTTACAGGGTGTTGTTTATCGTTCAGCAATCCTTCATCCTACCAAATAAACGACCTCACAAACCTGCAGAGTGTTGCTAATCTATGCTTCACGTTGACCCTGCTATATTACTAATGATGAACTATTGTATACAATGGTGTATGTGTGAGAGGTAGTCAAATGATGAACTATTGTATGCAATGGTGTATGTGTGAGAGGTGGTCAAATGATGAACTATTGTATACAATGGTGTATGTGTGAGAGGTGGTCAAATGATGAACTATTGTATGCAATGGTGTATGTGTGAGAGGTGGTCAAATGATGAACTATTGTATACAATGGTGTATGTGTGAAAGGTGGTCAAATGATGAACTATTGTATGCAATGGTGTATGTGTGAAAGGTGGTCAAATGATGAACTATTGTATACAATGGTGTATGAATGAGAGGTAGTCAAATGATGAACTATTGTATACAATGGTGTATGTGTGAGAGGTGGTCAAATGATGAACTATTGTATACAATGGTGTATGTGTGAAAGGTGGTCAAATGATGAACTATTGTATACAATGGTGTATGAATGAGAGGTAGTCAAATGATGAACTATTGTATACAATGGTGTATGTGTGAGAGGTGGTCAAATGATGAACTATTGTATACAATGGTGTATGTGTGAAAGGTGGTCAAATGATGAACTATTGTATGCAATGGTGTATGTGTGAAAGGTGGTCAAATGATGAACTATTGTATACAATGGTGTATGAATGAGAGGTAGTCAAATGATGAACTATTGTATACAATGGTGTATGTGTGAGAGGTGGTCAAATGATGAACTATTGTATACAATGGTGTATGTGTGAGAGGTGGTCAAATGATGAATTATTGTATACAATGGTGTATGAATGAGAGGTGGTCAAATGATGAACTATTGTATACAATGGTGTATGTGTGAGAGGTGGTCAAATGATGAACTATTGTATACAATGGTGTATGTGTGAAAGGTGGTCAAATGATGAACTATTGTATGCAATGGTGTATGTGTGAGAGGTGGTCAAATGATGAACTATTGTATACAATGGTGTATGAGTGAGAGGTGGTCAAATGATGAACTATTGTATACAATGGTGTATGTGTGAAAGGTGGTCAAATGATGAACTATTGTATGCAATGGTGTATGTGTGAAAGATGGTCAAATGATGAACTATTGTATACAATGGTGTATGAATGAGAGGTAGTCAAATGATGAACTATTGTATACAATGGTGTATGTGTGAGAGGTGGTCAAATGATGAACTATTGTATACAATGGTGTATGTGTGAGAGGTGGTCAAATGATGAATTATTGTATACAATGGTGTATGAATGAGAGGTGGTCAAATGATGAACTATTGTATACAATGGTGTATGAATGAGAGGTGGTCAAATGATGAACTATTGTATACAATGGTGTATGTGTGAGAGGTGGTCAAATGATGAACTATTACTATTGTATACAATGGTGTATGTGTGAGAGGTGGTCAAATGATGAATTATTGTATACAATGGTGTATGAGTGAGAGGTGGTCAATTGATGAACTATTACTATTGTATACATAAGTTAGAATGTATGCATATTTCAAAGGCTGTCAGTCATCGTGTCCAGAAAATTTTAAAATCAATTTCCTAATGACCTCTGTCAATTATATTTGTCCTCGAAATGGAATACTTTTTCGCAATGACATATAGGTGTTGTCAAGTAAAAAATAGCGTCATTGACGCATTGTGATTCAACATTTCTGATTGGTTGTTAGGGTGCAAGGTCAATGAAAAGCATGATCACTTGACCGGTAAAATTTACAAATGACTGGTACTTGAAATACTAGCCAGTTACAATGTCCAGCTGTAAAATATGCCAGCAGAAACACTGCAATGGTGTATGAAGGAAGGGAGGTCAAATGATGACCCATTGTATACATTGGTGCTTGAGGGAAAGGAGGTCAAACGATGACCCATTGTATACATTGGTGCTTGAGGGAAAGGAGGTCAAACGATGACCCATTGTATACATTGGTGCTCGAGGGAAAGGAGGTCAAATGATGACCCACTGTATACATTGGTGCTTGAGGGAAAGGAGGTCAAACAATGACCTATTGTATACATTGGTGCGTGAGGGAATCTGTATGTAAACGCCATATCACCTCCATAAAGAAGTTGTTTATCCATAGTTTGTGCCACAGGGGTTCGAATCACTGATTGGACAATTTTTAAAATTAAAAATGTACATTTTTGCAATCATATATTGTTTTTACATGTTATGAGTAACTTGAAGAAATGTATTTTTTAGAAAATTCTCCTGCTACACTTACATAGAATACACGAGGGTTGATGCTAAAAGCCTGATCGAAAACCGGACAGCCCGACTATTTTAACGTGCGTTCAATCAAACCTTACGTTTTTTCACAAAACAATGTGTAGAGTTTGTAGATTGTTCTTTTGGCCTTCTCTGTTCATCGTATTCAGTTTGTCTAACTGCATTTCATGCTTGACCACTGACCCTCGCATTAGAACTACCCTCGGTTTTGAACAAACGTCTGGCCACCCTTTGGTAAACATCGACACTGTCCGAAAATCGCGGAATGACTCGGAACACAAAACGGCTCTCATTGGTCAATTTCCACAAGTGTGGGAAAAACAACAAACAAACATGGCAGACAGGGCAGTGAGAGGGGCCATCGATGGCCATAATGTGTTAATTTTGGGCCAAGCGGGCTGGCAGCCGCTAGTTATCGATGGGGTTACGCTCCATCGTTTCACATGTATTTCTCTGTTATTTTGTATTATTATCAAGCTTATTTCCTCCATATAAATAGTGTGTGTTATATAGACATGTATACATTTGTGCCTTCAATGAGTTATGACACGTTTATATCTTTCACTTAAAATGTCAGTCAATTTTACATTTTTCGGTAAACGTAAGGAAAATGTACTGTCAGATGGGCAAAGCTACGCAGATGTTTTATGTTCTTACATAGCACACACTCATTTTGGAACATCATGTTTTTATAACATAGTACCAAGAAATCCTAAAGTCAGAATTGGGGGTACGAAGTATGAATGTATAATATTTAAAGCGTATAACATTTCACAATGACCTAATTGGCATTGCATAAGGATTTCATAAACATCAGCCACACATAATGACAGAGGTAACCCAAATATGTGTATATTGAAAATATTTGTTTTGTAAATCTACTGGTATGTCAGTTAATCTTAAAAAGACTAAGATTCTTGTTTTTAGAAATGGTGGGCCTCTAAGAGATTATGAAAAATGGTATTATGATGGTAAACAAATTGAATCTGTATCTTTTTATAAATATTTAGGACTTGTGTTTACACCAAAACTTGTATAGAGTAAAGTTGTCTTGTTTCTCAGGCCAATAAGGCATTATTTTCTGTAAATACCTTTCAGAGAAATATGGGTAGTGTCAATTGTAAAGATTTGTTTAAAATATTTGATTGTATGATCTCACCTATATTATGTTATGGAGCTGAAGTTTGGGGCACCAGTTACAGTAAACTCATAGAGTCTGTACAAATTAAATTTTGTAAGTATTTTTTATAAGTCGGTAAATCAACTTGTAATAATGTGGTACTTGGTGAATGTGGTCGACTCCCTTTACAAATTGTATATATGACTAAGGTTATCAAATATTGGTGTCATTTATTGTACTTACCCCCAAATAGATTCCCAAAACACTGTTATCAAGTGCTGAAATCATTAGATGATGTTGGACGTGTGACTTGGGCAACTAATGTTAAAAATATTTTATTTAGTTATGGTTTTGGCTATGCATGGGTCAGTCAGGATATTGGAAATGTTAAATATTTCATGTTTCTTTTTAAACAAAGACTGACTGATAATTTAAAGCAATCCTGGTATACTTCAATTGAAAATTCACACAAAACTATATATTATTGTCATTATAAAACCCTACTAGATGAAGAAAAATACTTAAATTGTAACATTTGTTCAAATATGAGATCTGCCCTTTCAAAATTCAGATGTGGACATTTTAACTTAGCAATAGAGACTGGGAGATATGAAAATATTGCTTCTAATGAAAGATTTTGTTTATTTTGTAAATCAAAAGGTATTAATGTTGTTCAAGATGAGTGGCATATTTTGTATATCTGTGAATATTTTTTTTGATGTTCGAGATAAATATATTGTGAAATATTTTAGTCAGCCTCCTACAATAAACAACTTTATAAATATTACGCAATCTAGCAATGGTGATGTGATTAAGAATGTTAGTCTATTTTTATATAATGTACAAATTAGAATTAAGAGCACAGCTTGTTTTTAACTCTGTGTACCATTCATGTGATGTGTGACCATGCATCTGTCTGTATTATGGGCCAGTGGTCTTTTACTGAATAAAACTGTCTGTCTGTAATATTTGTTATTGTAAACACAAAACTTTCATATAAAAAGACATCAATGTTTGGAGGTTACTCCAACAATTTGATTTTGTATATGAATTAATTGTAAACTACATCTGACTGTGAAAGGTTTTAATATAAATGTAGTTTAATTTTGTGTTTGTGAAAGTGTTACAGAAATTTGGATAAATTTGTTTCACCTTAAGGAATTCATAATATTTCACAATTGTTTGCAATCACCAATGCAATTTTTGTGTGTGGATAAACTCTACTCTATTTCCACCATCATTTGTCATCTCATGTACAATAATACTAGCAATATTAAGAACTGTTGGAGTTATGAAATATTCATGACAAATTAAGATTTTTAGAGAAATGGGAAATAAATATGTAAGTAAAGATTCAGTTTTGATATGGTAATTGTGTTATCCATCATTATAGACAATGAAATGCATTGATAGATTACAAAAAATGTATTTGATTGTTTTATTAATTTTGAGACCATCCATAGGGTTTATCCAGGAACAAATATAATTAGGTTAGGAAAACTATTTGATCGATGAAAAGATATCTTGATATCCACTATCATTCCCTGGTAAGGGGTTGGAGGGCAGTAGTTTCTTATATTAGTACCAACAAAAGTATTTTTAAGATTGGATAAAGCTCAGAATATTTTTTTGGTTTCCAGATTCACCAACAGGCAGGTATGTGCACATGTCACTAATGGGGTAAGGTAATACAGGAATGATTAAGAAGTTGAAATATAATTCATATATGACCCAGGGGTGGAAATAACCCATTGCCCGACGTCCGAGTCCAGTGTTTTTTTCTTTCGGGCAAGCAAATTTGTATATCACACTGTACCGGTGTCCAGTTGACTTTCCAATGTTAATTATGTTGTTTATTTTAAAAAATCAACAAGAAAACGGCCGGTATAGCGGAAACATTATCAGGGCAAGTGATTTTACATGTGCCACTGTACCGGAGTACACTAGCAATTTTAAAGTTATTTCCACCCCTGTGACCGACTCGCTAGATGAGATTTAGACTGGATATTTATTGCTTTCATTGTTGATAATGCTTGAGGTCTTTGACTTAACTTGAGTCAAAAGTATTTCTATAAGAGTTTTTCAAATTTTAGAAATTGTACTATACAAGGGAAAATTTAAATGATCATACATTGCCAACATGAAAGTGTCAGCATTTAATTATTCTTAAAGTCAATTTTCATAGGATATCTTTTTCAAGAGATGTGATTTAAAGTATGCGGTAGCATTAGGTATTTGTTTATTATCATCATATTTCAAAAGTTAATATACCTGGACGATTTTGAATTATCTGTTTGGTGAAATGTATCATTGAATAAAAAAGTATCAATATGTGAACTGTTGTGTGTGTTGTATTATACTGTGGAAACTATATGGAATATTGAATATTAAATCAACAATCACAATGAATTGATAACCTCTCATATGACATTTATATTCTAAATACAATCCATGAATTTACGGAAGTTAGATATTTATCATTCCGCTTTGCATGCTTGATATAATAAGGTTGCTGTATGCACTATTTGCACTATTTTACTGCATTTAACGCCTGAAATAATTTTACTCACCATGAAAGAATTTCTAAAACCATGTTCGAGTTTTCCAAACATATCATCTGTGAAAAGAATATTCCGCAATAATCGCACACGTGGAAATTGACCAATGAGAGACGTTTTGTGTTCCGAATCATTCCGAGATTTTCGGACAGTGTCGATGTTTACCGAAGTGCGGCCAGACGTTTGTTCAAAACCGAGGGTAGTTCTAATACGAGGGTCAGTGGTCAAACATGAAATGCAGTTAGACAAACTGAATACGATGAACAGAGAAGGCCAAAAGAATAATCTACAAACTCTACACATTGTTTTGTGAAAAAACGTAAGGTTTGATTGAATGCACGTTAAAATAGTCGGGCTGTCCGGTTTTCGATCAGGCTTTTAGCATCAACCCTCGTGTATTCTATGTAAGTGTAGCGAGAGAATTTTCTAAAAAATACATTTCTTCACCGATTTCGTTCAAATTTTGAAATATAAGTTACTCATAACATAAAAATAATATACGGTTGCAAAAATGTATATTTTTAATTTTAAAAATGATTGTCCAAATAGTGATTCGAACCCCTGTGGTTTGTCCCTATCTTCAGATCATTAGTTCCAAGTACATGTTATCAAACTTACCTTCCAGTTTCATCCCACACTGTACACACTTGGCAAATCGACAAGCCGGACATTTCTTTCGGTTGAAAATGCTAATATCACATTCTCCATGCCTGTGGCACACAAATGTTTTCTTGTTCTGGACTGTTCTCTTGAAAAATCCCTTGCAGCTTTCACATGTAAATATTCCATAGTGGTAACCTAAAAACATAATGATTATAAGAGGATAATTTTATACACTTTGTGCATTGAATAAAGGACAACAATAACAAATTGGATTGGACGAGAACTTTTTTTACAAATATTGGTGCACAAAGCATGAATAACAATCCTTACATTATTTACAAGGCTGGACCCTTATTCTCGAAACGTTTGTAGCCCTAAGACTTCATAGCTTTGATGGTAGCCAATGTGTTAAGACTGACTGACTGAGTTTGGTTTTACGCCGCTTTTAGCAATATTCCAGCAACATCACGGCGGGGGACACCAGAAATGGGCTTCACACATTGTGCCCATGTGGGGATTCGAACCCGGGTCTTCGGCGTGACAATGTGTTAAGAATGGGCTTAAGAAGTTTGTAGGGCTACGAATGTTTCGAGAATAGCTAGCCTGATCTTTAATAGATTATCAGGGTTAGAACTAAATCTAAACATGCCACTAGCCCTCGGGGCTTATAACAAAACTAGTAGTCCACTGGTAATGAAACTTTCATTGCATTATTGTTGTATGAAACGAATGATTTAATTTACTGCTAACTCTTTCAACACCAGTAAACAGGGCACCCAGCACCCAGAGACTCTGAGGTCATAGAAAAGCTGTGTTTATCAAGGAAAATATCAGCTTGTAAAACATTATTTCTACTACATGTCATACACCATTTGAAAGGTCTAATCCTACTGTTTGTAATTATGAAAGTTAAATTTTATCATATTATTCAAACAATATAACTACAATTTCAATAAGATAATTTTTAATGAAAATGCAAGCTGACACATTTATAATGTCCATGTAAACCACGAAGGAAGAAAATAATGCAGCCATTTTTTTTCCATTTGTAACATGACATAACATCCCCTAAACGTTTTCTTTTATGATTTCATTTTTAAGTAATCGGAAAATCATTATAAAAAGATTTCTGAAATAATATGTGTGGTCGTCTCTTTCCCATTATCAGTGGCTTTCCACTCAGTAATGTGACAAAACAGCGGGAAATACCTTCGTTTTCAAAGCTTCGCATGAATAACATTTGAGGCGCTTCGTTTGATGGCGGGTATCGTTCGAAAGCTCTGAACATCAACATCACTGTACCTTTGCCAAGAGCATTTGTAAGAAGCGATTTTATTGGATAAAGATTGGTTTCTAATGACGCTTTTTTTGCCACAGTTTGTTATGAGGATCGTGATTGGTCAAAATCATGCACATGACCAAAGGTAGCCAATCATAAACGGAAACTTTCAGATTTAGACGAAATTTTTTGGTAAAATTATGTTATTCTGGACAGGTTGCGCAAACAATCACCACCTATACATAAAGTTTGGAACTTAGTGGACATATTGTGCCAGGTTATGACCGTGACAAAATTGCTTCATGCATATATTTTAGCATAAAACTTTGTGTCCGATCATGAAGTTCGAGGCGACGAAACCCGAGATGTCACTTTACTTACACTGCATGATTGCACAAGAAAAGATGAAAATAGTAACTTATAACATACGTTTGACAACTTATCTCAATATTGTTGTTGATTTTATTCTTTAGTGTATTAGTTTGTTTAATTATTTCCTTGAAACATCATAACTTTGCTCTTTGACAACTTGTTATGAAGCATGTTATGAAAGGCATTTGTATAAGATAATTATACTCTATTCGGGCGAGCAGTAAATAACTGAATGTGTGGAACTGGATAACTAAAATTTGTCTGTTTTGCACGCTCTTCCCAACCTAAAACAATTGGTATAGCGAGACCACTAACATGTTTAGCATAAAGTGACACAATGTAGATGTTACAGGGCTCCAGATAAGGGCCGTATCGGCGTATGTACGGATAGAAAATATGCACGATACGGTAGGAAATAATTTAGAAAATGTAGCAGATAGCACAACAGCAATGGTGTACGGTCTTAAAATCATTTACAGACGTATTTATCTGAAAAAAGTATTGTTTTGTTTATTATTTATTGACCTGTTTACACAAGAGTAGCAATGTTGTGGTGCATTACTGATAATATGCCATTAAATTCCATTCAGTACTCTAAATGTACTCTTAAGTTTTTCCTGTACTCCTATATTGAAAAAATAAGGAGTATGTACTCCTGAATTTGAAAAATTATGGAGGCCTGTGTTATATTGGAGTTCTGCAACACTGGATTCACTAGTCTGATTGAAAATGAATGATCTCAATAGCAGTATTTGATGAATAATCACTGAAAAAAATAGTAGCCCGCCGGACTAGTGCAATTTTGTTTCCATTCGCCTAACTAAACGTTTACTCGCCTCGGGCTTGTGGGCAAGCATAAAGATCGAACCCTGATTATTACAAAAATAGTGCCATAACACTTTAACTTAAATTTTGTAAAAGGTGAACACAGCACCATAAATAGGATGTATTTAGTTTTCAGAATCTTTGTTTGCAGTAATTTGCTTTAATTGTTAAAAAATGCAGAATTGAAAAAGGTGACATAGTTTTGCGTGTGAGATATGCTTTGAGCATGCCGAGTTTTATCCAAGTGACAGATAAACATGTTGACACAGCAGGCTGTGTCTCGCACTACAACATACAACATGGAGTCATCCAAAACTACACAGCAAACTTTACATGAATGATAATCCTACCAGATATTTTGTCTCCACACACTGGACAAGGCGTTCCTAAATGTTCAATTGCAGATGGGTCTTGTCCTACTCCATGCACAATGGTACCTGAAGTATTTCCTGTCTGGCTACCCACTGTCTGTGCTATTTCATGCTGAGCCATAAGACGAGCTCGCTTTTCCATGATAACCTGTTTGTCAATTACCATTTGTCTCTCATGTTCAGCAATAAGTTTTGCCTGGTGCTCAGTTGGTTGCACTACCTCAGCCTCTACATCGCCATTTCCTTCTTGCTGCACCACCACACGATACATTTGCTCAGTCCCACCTTCAACATCACCAACTACAATGTCATTTCCAGGAGATGGCACAGAAGGTCCTTCATTGTTGTAATATATTATAATCTGTTGATTGCTTTGCTGTCTAGGATCAGACTCAACCTTGACATTATCCAAATCAGCAGTCATGGCCTCATCACTCTCCCCACTCTTGCTCTTCAGATGTTGCGAAGCCAAAGCTGTCAGAACATTCACCATGCTCATTGGTTGTCCGCCCACATACACAGAATCTCCTGTATCTCTGTCATATTGAGATATGTCTTGGTCTATTCTCTTTACTTTATGAAGCATGTTCTTGATCTCATCACTACTATCCCGTACAGTCTGGAAGCTATTTCCAGATTCACTGCCACTTCCAGCTTGCAACAAGCTAGCCACTGGTTCATTCATACCTTCCAGTATGTGTGACACAACCTTCCTGGGGGAGGGAGATCCCTTCTGCTCCATACTGAGATTTCTTTCAACAAACTTTTTCTTCTCTGTTTCTGTAGAAGTAAGTGTATGAGATATGGCTTGCAGGAGGACTGGAGAAATGCCCAACTCAGAAGTCACACTCATACCTGTAAACAAAATGTTAAGGTGACTTTAATACAAACAACTGATATAATCGAATACTTTCCGGGACATATCTAGTCCTGCAAGGAAGCTGATTCTCAGCCGCAAGTCTGAGGCAATTGTTAGCTAAACTTCACAAATTTTGAAATTTAACACTTATCAGAGGCGTACACAAAGTCCACAGTCTAGACTACCAGTTATCCGACTTCCATTTTTGTGGAAGCCGCGGTGGCTGAGCGGTCTAGGCGTCTGACTTTGTGTGCTGGCGATTAGGTGTCTGACTCTGAGGGTGTGGGTTCGAATCCCGGATGGGACTCAACCCAAAAAAAGTACTAGAATCTGTACTTTACTAAGAAAGTGTAATCCCAAATATAACATATGTTACATTTGACCACTTTCTTTCATTGCATTGTGTATTTTAAGAAATGTTATCTGTTAAATTAAACTTACATCGTGTATATTATGGCTCTGAGGAGGCAACTTGCATTTCACTGATAACAGGACCAGTATACAGAGTATACAATGCCATGCTGTGTAGTTATACACTTTTGTAATTTTTGAAAAACATTGCAGTCTATAGATCCAAACAAATTGTTTACACAAAATGAGGTATTCAAGTTGTTTCCACCCTGCTCATATCCCAGCCAAGACGTGCCAAACGCTAATAATGTAGAAAGCATGTTCAAATTATTGGCGAGCACCCTACATTCTGATCCGTCTGGTTCTTACAAATATTATCCGACAGCTGCATAAATTAATATTTAGGTAGAAAACATTACAGTCTATAGATACAAACAATATTTATCAAAACACAAGAAAAAAAGTAAACAAGGACTTAAAAGAAAATCCCCCCGCCCATCTTTCTGCAATCAGCTTGCAACCCTAGAAATATCCCTGACTTAATCGGTGTTTTTCTTGAGTAATATGATCATCACTATCTGTCCTCAAGATCAATTATCCATACTTCAGCATCCCTGACCACAACACACTTTTGTTCACATGTGTTCATAGCCACTTGTTTTAGCCCTTTTGGTATATAATCGAAAAATGCCCAGATTCGATTCAATTCTTATGAACAACAAATTGAATTCATGAAAGAACATGTTTTGATCCACTGAATATGTTACAGAATTGTAACAGCCCTAGTGACCATGCCATCAATAAAATTCACTAAATGTTTCAAAACTCATTCGGGGGCTATGTTCATATTTTCTCCAGCCCAACACATATGACAGTAGTGACAATGTGGTGTCTAACCTCTTCACAATGGCATTGGTCAGTAACATTTACAGTTCACAAAATTATTTTAAAGCTTACGCCAAGTTCTTCAGTCCATTGTATAGAGTGTTTGGTAGGTACCATAGTTGGGTTACATTATTCATTCTTGCTGAAGCCAGTTACCAGCTGATATGCATTTTAAGATATCTCGAGGTAGTATATAACAAGAGTGGGAGGAATGTAGCATATCAGTACTGCATGCTATTGGGGACTGTAGGTGTATGTGGTATGTTCTGCCAATAAAGTCTAAAATAATGTTATCATAGCACAATTGTCATGTGAATGAGGAAAGAAGTGTAAAATTTAGTACACACCTGAATATGTTGTGTCCTTTTTCTGGCTGTAGTTTTTTTTAACGAACATGATCTTTCACTATTTTATTAACTTAATGCAATTTTCATAAGGCAATTTGCTTGATGCTTTTGACCTGATCTCAACAGATGAATGATAAGAATCAAGAAGGACAAAACCAGAACCATGCCACAGTCTTCTGGCTGCACAACCATTAAAAAAGTGCTTGAAGAATTCTCTATATCTCCAGCAAAAGCTTTTTCTGTAAACCTACAACCACCACTGGATCCAATCAATAGTTCTCGCAATCCCAAATTATGCGCCCTTGTTTACCATTTACCAACTGATTGGATACCCAACTGGATCTAACATTCCAGTCAGAAAGCGAGTTATAGCAATATCTAAAAGAGGCAGAGAGTGATTATGATCATCTTTTTATGATCTACTTCATAACCATAAAAAATGGCATATCTGGGTCATACAAGTTATGTCCCTTCACGCTCCCCTTGAGGTTTGAGATCATTGTAATAATTTCCGTGGTTTCAGCAGCATTTTCGAGTTTTCTGTATATAATTCTTGTTACGATTCATTCGCGTATTCAGTAAATCGAACAGTATCTCTTCATGAATTTAATTTATTGTTTGTGGTCATTGGAATCGAATATTTACAAATATGTTTAAGTGAGTGTTTTCACTTCAAACTAGTTTATTGTTAAGCGAGATACGCAAAATGAAATACATCCAAGCTATGCAGAAGCGTATCTTATGTTATTCTGAAGCTGACTGCTCCTGGCACTGTCATTAGGCTATAAGTGGCATTGTTTGCAACGTATCGCATTTTTTTTTAGTGTTTAATAGTAAATATCATTTAAATGTTTCAACCAAAGCAATTGCATGACATATTTGTTATTGTAATTAAAAGATATTAACCATAAAGCATATTCATGAATAAATATTCACATTCATTACTATATATCGTAAAACATATCATATTCGCCTCATAGTGTCGGTGCAGCCCTACTGTATGTTAAGTTTAAACATATAGGGGAAAAGAGTCTAACAGAGAATCAGATACTAGAATTGAAATTTTCACATAGCACCAGAAAAGTGAAGCATTGCCTCAGTTTAGAATTTACTCATAACTTAATGTGTCTGTTGCAAACACAACACCATGTTTAATAATAGCAATATCTGTTTGAACATCAAAGCTTCACTACAAACAGCCTTTAATCCATACTTAAAGTAAACTGTTTTGAATAGTAACTGGACGAAGACTGGAATGTTCCTATCGATTTGTGAAGTTTTATGTAGAATAAGTCATCAAGTGGCTTGACCTAGGGTGCAGTTCGCCTTGTTTGAAGGGTGTTTGAAATGGGAAAGGGTGGGATGATCTTTGAATTGGGGGCATCCATTTGTGGCAAGACAGTAGTACAAAAACATTTTTACAAAACATAAAATATTGAAACTGACATATCAGGCGGACCTGTTATCAGCCAACATCCTGGGACATTTTCGATTTAGAAACGAAGAGCCTTCGAAAAACTGATGACGAGATCAAGACGTAGGAAATATTACAGATGTAAATGATACGCATGGATGTCTACGGCTTTTACGACATGTGTCACAAAGTATGGTTACTAGTGAACCAAATGAAATCGGTGGAAGCTCCGACAGCGGTGAAGGCCACTCAAGGGGCACATGGCAATGTTTGAAAACAATGACTGTCTGAAATGTGCTCAGCCACATTTAACCTTCGTATATAATTATTACACATTTTTTGGAACACATGTGCTGCCTATATACTTACTGGATATGTGTAGTTTGTAAATCTTTCGTTTTAAATATTTTCAATCCGATCTTAAATTTCTGTGTTGATGATTTCTTGTCATTCCAATCGAGACCTCCGGCCATGACCTTGAACCACTTGCGTCCTTCACAGAGGCCCACGCACCTCTCCCAAAGATTGCTCCCCTGACTACTGGAAAACGACAATCAAATGAATACAAAACATAGCATTGCAAATTTGTGTTCTTATCAAATATGGCGGCTACTGCACTGACGCGTAGAAGACCTATGAATGTATGCGGATAAAGACCATTTTCCGGTAATTGTCGACCTCCTACGAACACAATATTCGTCACTGCTCGTATCTCTCCGAAACCAGCCGAAAACATTGGTCGCAAACAAAGGCTGGGCTCCGTCTCTACTGTATCCTAGAGGGTTGAACTAAATATGCTTGCCCGTATAAGTTTATAGTCCGTCAACTTAACTTTTGGCACCCTGTTTTTTTAACAATGTACATAAAACTCCTGAATATTTTAAAACGCTACTCTGTTCATATGGTAATTGTATACTGTGACCTAACAAGATATCGATTTTAGTAATTCTAAAACGATTATTAAAGATTTTGCCTTTAAACCTGTCATATAATAATTGTAAAACTGTGGAGAGTTTAACGAGGGGTTAACGCACGTGATGGAAAAGCCAACAACATTGTAAAATGTGTGTCAGCGTGATATGTACATGCACGGGTATTTACATTAGCACGCCCAAGTGATGTCATAGATCGTCAACAAACAGGTTGTGGTAAAACGATGTTGTACAAAGATGACCGGTAAATCATCAAAAGAGTTTACAACTTTTTCAAGCGCGAGGCAAAGCGAAAAAACCCCTCTTTTTTCAATTGAGTGTTTCTTCAAAAGACACTTAATGCCACCAAGATCTGCAAGAGAACATAGCAAAGAGTTATCTCCCATGACACTATTTCAGAGACTGACGATGATATGAAAATCGGGGACTGTCTCAAAACATGCAAAGAAAAAATAGCTTGAAGAATTCGATAGAAGGGTTGTGGGGAGGGACGTCATGCGTCGGTTAAATCGATCCAGTGAGTCCATATCGTCAAGCAAACTGAAGAAAATATTGTTCAAAAGAAGACAATGACATCAATGTATCAAAGCATACCATATGCAAGCTGTTGCTCAAATTTGGATCTTGATACAAGAGATTGAGCAACCAGTATTTTAAGACTTCAATAAATCTACTTGTTTAAAATGGATTTGTGATGATTATACAGTCCCTTTAGATTTGCTTGCAGGCGTAACAATGTAAACAAGATGCACGCGTGTCACACCATTGAGTTTGCTGTTCCATCGTATCATTTTACTCCCTTGTATAACTACTTCTATTTTTCATATGTTTATAAGATGGCTTTTTGAGAAGAAGCTGTAATAATTGACATAAAATTATGAAATTTCAACCTTAGATAGGTCAAAAGATATAAAAAAAGTGTATATCCTTAAAACATTTTGAAGGCATATTTGGTTAAAAGGTAAATTGTGAAAAACAGGGTGCCAAAAGTTCAGTTGACGGACTATAGTATGGGAATAGAAGGGAGACGGTGTTTACGAACCAGTCTGGTCTACGAATTCACCTACAGTCGAATAGAACACAATCTTTGACCCAAGTGCCATGCACTCTTCTCGCAGGAATATAATCAAACCACTTCAATTAAATGTAAACATTACTTGTCTAAAGCACTCACTTTGAGGTCCAATAAAATTCTAAATATATCACGCACACAAATAAACTTCACGTACAATTTTGAATTCTGCAGGAGATTTCCTGTTTCTTGATAACATCCACTATTATCTTAGACAAAGCAAAAGTGCTGAAAATAATATTTCAAAATTGGCTACATCGTAGATGTTGGTAATTTCTGGCATAAAGTTTCAATATTATGATTTATATTTTGCGTATCTTTTTGGTATTTTTTTCAGAAAACTACATTCATTATCTACATTTTGCCATTCACATTCATCTATATGTAGATGATGGCTGTCATGTGTCTATTCAATGGTGTAATTTCATATTAACAGCGATTTCATTTAATCTTATAAGTAAGGCTCAATATGTTACTTTAAGAAAGTGATGTAATGTTTCTTTATTAAATGTACATGCACACACATTTATAAAGGGTTTTCTTGGTCATGGAATCTTTTTTATATCGTTTTATGGACTGTAAAAAATATGTGTAATGATTCGCAAGGTGCTCGTTTGTCACAAATGTTTCACGATTTACTTTTCTTGTTTTCTTCATATAATTTATTTATTTATGTTTAAACGTATCCTATCTCACGGTATGCACCTCTCTTCTTCTTCTACGACCATGTGTGGAAACGTGCTGTAGGCTAAGTTGAATCAAATCTTACTGGCCTCTGACCCGCCCTGACCTCTGCCCCCACTACGACATCAACACCTGTCAATCATCTCCGTAAGCGTGCAGCTCGCTCAGATGATCATGTGACTACCTGTGCCTGTCATTTTCTTTCTTGTCGCTACGTCGTGTGGACGTGTGCTTGTCTCTAAGAAAGTTTGATTGTGTTTCTACAATGGGAAAATCGAATCGCAATAGTGCTATAAAGCGCAAACATTGCGATAAATGCAACAGCAACTTCTCGGCGGCAGACCCACATGCTTTTTGTGTTGATTGTTTAGGACGTTGTGAGTGGTCTCAACGTTGCACTTTTCGTGCAGACCTCAACGATGATGCTTTTTCTGAATATCGCCGGGTAGCTTGTAGACGCGTGTCACACAGGGATCGTCGTCAACCATCTGAGGGTCCTTCTGCGTCTAAACGTTCTAAGACAGAACGCCGTAAGAAAACTGCAGTCCTACGTTCGAAGTCCCCGTCCCCTGCTGAAGATTTCCTAGGGGAGGCGTCGGATTCTTACCTCAGTGAAATTTACGTCAACTTTTCCGGACGCATGCGTCTAGCCCCATCACTTTAGAAGACTCTTCACCACCTAGGGTTGTCGTGTTGTCTACGTCTTCTCTTCAAACCCGTCCCTCTTCGGTGATACCTATTCCTCAGTGCACTTCTGTTCCTGAGGTGGGGGTTTCTCGTGCGGCGCTTGGTGTGATTACTAGCATTACATCTCAAGTGACGCTTCCTTGCAGTGCGGCGCTTTCCACTTCGGAGGTTGATTCTACGCCTGTTTCACATTCGGGACTTGTGTCGAATGTGTCAATTGCTTAGAGTGCAGTGGATGGTTTAGGTGCGGCGCTCTCTCATCCTCCGGTGGGGTTGACAGGTGTGTCAATGATTCCTAGAGTGCCTTTTTTCCACATCTATCCCTTATCATGTACCGTTGGGTTATGGACCACCACGTTATTCTAGTGCGTCATTTGCTGCTCCAGCACCGCTTACATCAGGACAGTTACCTGTTGGTAGAGCGCCGCTCGTTACCGATCCCATGATGTCATTCAGAGCGCCGCTTGCTTCCAGTTCGGCGCTCTTGTTTGCCTCTGGTTCGGCGCTTACTCCTGGTGTTCCCGATCGGCGCTTCCTCCTGGTGTTCCCGGTTCGGTGCTTCCTCCCGGTGCTCCCAGTTCGGTGTTTACTCATGGTGGCTTTGGTTCGGCGCTTGCTCCCGGGGTTCCAGGTTCGGTGCTACCGGTTCGGTGCTTATTCATGGAGGCTTTGGTTCGGCGCTTACTCACAGTATTCCTGGTTCAACGCTTACTCACGGGGTTCGTGCTTCGGCGCTTACTCATAGATCACTGGCTTCAAGGTTGACTTATGGGGCATGATGTTACATTGCTGGGAACTAAACAGAAAGCCTACTCGCCGTTCCTGGTGGAGGATCGTGAGCTTTTGCATCTGGATGGTGTCATAAGGAAGATTATGGCGCCACTCAACAAGGTGTTGATGACTACCGAAGCGGTGGCTATGTCGGTTGCACATGCTACGTCCCATCAACAAGCGAATATTCGAGCAGCTATGGTCTTATTGCAAGAGCAATTTCAGACCATTCTGGATCAGTGGGCTCACTTCTTTTCGTATGTCACAGCTGTACGTCCAGCCCGCTATGTTCCTGTCAATCTGGACCTGCGTGCGGGTTCTACTGCTTCCTTTCGTGGAAAGGTATCCTTTGGCAGAGGACGGTCCAGCAGTCAACGTCAGGCATTCTCTGCTTCACGACCAGCTTCAACTGCCGACCAGTCCACTTTGCAAAGGCCTGACAAACAGTGACTTGACGACATTAGAAAGCGACTGGGTTCTTCCACCCCCGGTCGTGCCCTTTCTGACTTCCCCAGTAGGCGGCCGGCTTGGAACCTATGCTCCCAACTGGATCATCTTGGGAGACCCTTACATCCTCTCCATGTTATCCACGGGGTTTCATCTGCCAATCATCGGGGATCCTCCTCTCACTTTACTTCCAGATCGCATAATGTATCCCGCTCAGCAGACGGCTGTTCTTCGATCCACAATAGACACCTTACTCAAGAAACTTGCGATCGAATCCCTGGGTCAGGCTCTGACCATCCCAGGGTTCTATTCTCCAATCTTTCTGGTCCCCAAGAAGGATTCGGACAAACTGAGGTTAATCTTCAACATGAAGATATTCAACGAGAGGTTTCTGCAGTCTCCGCCCCATTTTCGCATGGTATTGGTGGCACTCCTCAAGACCATAATCAAGCCGGGAGACTACATGGTCAGTTTGGATCTCCAGGATGTGTACCTGCACATCCAGATCTTCCCGGCTCATCGCAAGTTCCTTCAGTTTGTCTTCGAGGGCACCCACTATCAGTGGCGGGTCCTCCAGTTTTGAATTTCTTCGGCCCCGTGGCTGTTTACATGGGTAACGAAGCCTATCACCAGTTTCCTTCACCGCAAGGAAATAGTGTTCGAGGCTTACATCAACGACTGCATTCAGGCACAGACCAATCATGCCCTTCTGCTTCGTCACATGCAGTTTGCGAGACAGCTTCTTCACCAATTAGGCTGGTTAATCAATCTGCAGAAATCGGAACTAGTCCCTACACACCGTCTTCAATTCATTGGAGCAGTGTTCAACACAGAGGTCAACAAACTGTTTGTCCCGAGGGATCGTTTCTGCAAGATACAGCGATTGGTCTCTCTGGCACTGGTGCACCCCAGGACACTTCGTCAGTGGTAGGAGCTCCTTGGCCTCTTGACGTCAGTTCAGACGTTGACCCTCAGGGGTCAACTACAACTTCGTCCCTTGCAGTTCTTTCTAGCGACTTACATCAGAGTGGGAGATCCCGTTGCCTTGATCACTCTACCTCTGGAGCTCCATCC